TAAACGAAATTAGTATCTAATTTATGTAGCTCCACACTATAATGGTTTAAGAATATTTTTATTTCCACAGGTTAGCACTTACATTCATCGTGCCAACAACTCTATGTGAATCCTCTCTTAAATTTCTCAAAACACAAAGCACCAGAAACAATATGATACAGTGAGAACAAACTTAGCATCATAAATGAACTTGAAATTTGAAATTCTTGCAAACATGCCAGACTCTCGATAAAGTGAATATATGATGCAAATATATCTTTGCACAAGTGTCATAAAAAATAATTCACAAACCAATCATGGAAGTACTAAACAAAAGTGTTCAGGATTAACACCTCAAATTTCTGGTCTTCGTGAATTTTTACAATATCTGATTGATCTTCTCCATCTTTATAGCAATCAGCATGTGGATCCTCTATAGGCTTCCCCTGACCCAACTAGATAGTACACAAAATCCATCATCATCAATTGCTTCAGTTAAACAACAAGCAGAAGAACTAGTTTGAAACAAATAGTAAAAGAAAAAAATTGCTGTCAACGGAGAACCAACCGGTGATGCAACTAAATCCAAAGAGCAATTCAACTCTTCAAGATCACTCTCCAGTCTATTGGAATCTGCAAACTCAAATACCCACACATGGATTCTGAGTACGAAATTGTGTAAATATATGTGCAACCCAGGTATATAAAATACCTCACCTTCTACACGGGATCTGTAAGAGACTTGATTTCATTAGAGATTTTACTACTTTCAGCCTCCACAGTAATATCACTCCATCTATATTTATGCAAAAGTGGTACCTTGAATAACTGACAAAGTATTAAGGTATCTGCATTGAAATTGTTTACCCAAAATTACATTCGGTTCATTTTATACCGACAAAGTATTAAGTATGTATTAGAGTTCCGGATGATAACAGAGTTTCATATGCTCAAGAGATTCTACAAATTAAGTTTACCATTCTATAGATGTTTATGCACTCAGATTACAGAAACTGATGAATTTGAGGAAATTGTGCATCAGATTCTAAATCCTTCAACTGTTAATCCTGCTCGGAAATTAATCTCCCTTGGTAACACCAAGTAATTGTTATAGCAGGGCCATAAAAATGGTTTCTGTTTTCAAGTGTTTTCTTTTACTTGTATAAAACTAAGCTTTAGAGAACCAGTTGGGCTTAAATTTGGTAAAAAAAAAATGAACATTTGCACGTGTTGGCATTGTCTCTAATGCATGAAATGGTGAGGCCACGAAAGCCATGAATCAATCTGCTGTTTGTGCCACCTATGTGTTTAACACAAAAACACAGAACATGAGCTGATAGAAACAGAAATGCTAGCTAACACAGAAGGCAGACGTATTAAAGGGAGGAAGTATAGTTCACTGCAACGACAAGTGTGGCTGTCCTGTTCTAGGTCCCGGTGGTCTGACTTGCAGGCCAATCGCATTCCCATTTTCTTTACTTGGAAATACTTTAAATACCCAATTTAAATCAATTATACACAGAAAAAATAACTGACAAAGTATTAAACCTCCAAAAAAATATTCAAGAAACAACACCAAACGAAAAGAACCATACAAACCAATAAAATTTGCATTAAAACTAAAGTAAGATAACAAAAAAACTGAAGTTTCAAAAAATAAAAAATAAAATCTTGATTAGATACCTTAAGAGAGAAACTAAGCGCAACTGAAGGGTAATAACGAAGCACACTACTGCCATTGCCTCCCCAAAGAGATAAAAGGCCTTCTTCTTGGACTATACGGACAATACAATCAAGCATACCCTTAGATTTTCTTCATCCACTCCCAACAATGGCCAGGCTGCTGTCTTGGGTCTGCAACAACAATTTCGTTCCCTCGATTGGGCCCACAATCGTGTGCACTACACCGCCCATAGCCACCCCCGCCAGTAGATCATGGTGAAAGTTGCTCAACCATTTGTACGGCGATGATAATTTTGACCCACGCTTTTCTGGGTCCTCATCATCTTGGCCCCTTCTTGAAAACTCTTTGTTTGTATAAGCTAAAAATATCAAAGTGGAAATTGGGAACTAGGGATTGGGCATTAGGTTGGGTTTATATAAGAATGGGTTTTTAGTAATTAATTCAAAAAAATTGGTTATTTCTTTAGTTCATTATTTTTTTAACTAATTTTTCAGTTATCATTAATTCATGAATAATGTTATACATACATCATTTTTATACAACATTTATCATACAATATTATGTGGCTAGATATGATTGAGTAAAAGTTTAATTTTAACTTTAAATTAGCCAATCATATCTTGCCACTTAATGTTGTATGGAAAATATTGTATGAAAATGATGTATGTGTAGTATTACTCTTAATTCATTAGTATATTTCATATTTTGTAAACCATATTTAGTAGCTAAAATTTTAGTTGCCACGTTAATTTAAAACTAATTTTTTAGCTGTCAAATAAATGATAATTTTTTTTTTAATGATAAATAATTCTTTTGTGATAAATTAATTTGTAATTATAACATGTATAGTGACTAAAGTTTCTGATGACATATATGTTGTCACAATAAATAATTTATCTAGACGCTTAAATTTTGACTTAAACATTTTGTTATTAATATCTCAATTTCAGCATATATTATGACAATTTTTTTTTTTGTAATAATAAATAAATTCTTTTGTGATAAAATAATTTGTAGTTATAGCATGTAAAACTAAATCTAGTGACTAAAATGTTTTATGACAAAATATGTTTGTCACAATAAATAATTTTCTTAGGCGCTAAAATTTGACGCAAAAAAATTGTGACGAAATATTATGATCAAAATGTTTTTCTTCACTATATTTCCTATGGGTATCTTTGTTGTGATAAAATATTATAACAATATTTTTGTTTTGGTCGCTGTATATTTTTTTTGTCATACTTAACGTGATATTTTTTTTTTTTTTTGTCATAATACATATATTACTCGTAACAAAATAACATGTGATAAAATCAATTTTGTCACAATATAATATATTTTTTGTAGTGACTAGAGCTGGTCAAGGACCAGTCCTAAGCAAGCCCGGGCCTGAGCCCGTTTGGGACTGATCCTTTTGGGATTGGTCCCAAGAAGGATCAGTCCCAAGTGGGACCAGTAGCTCATGGGCCTGGACCGGTCCCAGGCCCATGAACAATTTTAGGACTCGAACCAGTCCTATGGGCCTAAAAAATTTATTTTTCCCCCCTGATCTTTTTTTTATATTTTAGGGGCGAAACGAAATTTTGTAGGGGATTTTTAGTATTTTCAGGGGTAGATTTGTAAGTTTCTAAAAGTTTAATTAATTTTAAAAAATAATAAATAAAATAATAATTAATTTTAACATAAATATAATATTCTCGTTTCACACATTCACGCTTCACAAATAAACAATTAAATAATTTTTTTAATTAAATTATTCATCTTCATCGTTAACAATATTTATATCATTTAAATTTATATTCCTAAAGAGTTCGAGTAGTTCGGGATCTTCAAGGTGTTGTTATAGTCTTCTTTTTGCATGAGTCCAATCTCGTAAACACGTTATCACTTCAATCATCTCATCGGTTAAAGAACATCTTCTATCTTCAACAATCTGGCCACTCGTTGAAAATGTTGACTTGAATGCAATTGTAGAAACTGACATAGATAAAATGTCACATGCCATTTGGGCTACAATAGGGAATTGACTTTCATGTTAGTTCCACCATTGAAGAATATTCATGTCATGTTTCTCCTTCATCGTCATAAAGGACATGTCCACTTGTAGGTAGCAATTCAGCTCATTTGGTCCATATATGTACGGGCTGGGGCTACTACTTTTGCCATGTTCTATATACGTCCACTTGCTCGATCCTTGATGGAGGTCTGCATCAAGGTCCTGATCGTCTCTCCTGAACGTTCTACTTCCACTTCTATTGTACCTATTCTCATATAAAGAAAAAATGCTATCCAATTTTTGTTTAAAGTTAATCAAATAAGACGTATAATCATGTCCTAAATGCTCGCCTAACTTAGTAATTATACAGTTAACTACGTGTAGACCTAGCAAAATGGGTGGGTGGGCCGGATACGGGCTGGGTCAAACGGGTACGGGCCAAACGGGTACGGGTCCTTATACAGGTCGAGATATACGGGTCCAAAATATTGGACCCGTGCCCTACCCTATACGGGTATGGGTGGACCCGCCGGGTGGACCCGTTTTCTCTCTCTCCAGATTTTAGTTTTTCTTTCACCCATAATAGTTTTCAATTATAACAGTTACACCCCAGAATTCCTACAATTTTAATTTTTTACATTTACGCCCCCTAAATCAACTACTCTAAATTTAATTCAATTTAATATATAAACAAATAGGAACCAAAATAAACAAATAACACATAAACAAACAATAACATATAATACAAAACTGCAAATACCAACCAAAATAAACAAATATAAAATCACTAATCAATTGAATTGAATACAAAATACAAAATAAGCTCTCAAAGCAAGTTGAATTGAATTTGCCACCTTCAGCAAGCCAGAATAATAGTAATCTTGTTGCTGCAAAACAGTTTTCAAATAAATTAGAAACGGTAGCCTCTAGGCCAAATGAGATGGTGGCAAGGAACATGAATCTGATGCAGCCTTTACCTCCAAAGCAGCTTACTAGAAGGTACAACTACAACCAAAAGGGTTGCTTGTTTCCTTCTGTATAAAAACCAATGTACTGTACAGAAATATTTACACAAGCTATGAGATGGATGTTGATAATTACATTGTGATCAACTAGGAAATGAGATTAAATGTTTACATTGGAATAGGAAATGTCAAAAGAGAAAACAAGATAAGGCAACTTCCCCTTTGGCTTTTTCTCTGCACATGTGCACAAAATTCCATCCCCACCACACCCAGATATGCCAAGCTTTTTCTACTGTTTTTCTTGTTCTTGTGGGTAGAGTACCTTATGTCATACACAAATCAAATGAAACGTATATCTGCCACTGGAGCTGATGACGTATGTACACTCAACATAACAACAAAAATTGCCTCTGCAAAATTTTCACTACTCTGCTTCAAAGGAGATTTGTCATTTGTTTTTAAACTCTCGCATTACTTCAAATTTTTGCCACCAAAAACAGCTGTTGTTACATGCTCGAATCTGCAGGAAAAAAACAGCAAATCCCATGTCTATTTGTAGTTGGTCTCTAATTCTCGGCTTTAATTTTTGTCACGAAATCTGAAAAACAGCAATAAATCATACTATCTCAGCAAGTTCTTTGAGGAAATTATTTCATGATTTTACCAAAACAAGCATAATAAAATATCATGAGCTGAGAAAAAAATTGCTATCAGATAATCATTACTGCCTAAAGAAGAAATACACCAAAGAATCATAAATACAACCGCAAACATCACGGTCAGATACAATACAAGTATACTTGTTAAAAATGTAGGCAAAAAAAAGGATGTAAAAGATGGGCACATTGTTATTATTTATATTGCAAGCAAACAGTACAAGTATACTTGACAATGATGAGCAAATATGATGTTCCTGATCTAACTTCAAATATATTCAAGAACCAATAAAAATATGGAGGAATTAAGGTCGCTTCAGAGATAACTTGCAGGCATTTATATATGGATAAACATTCAGTAAGTCAATCAATAATGCAATTTAAAAACAAATAATTTACAAATCAAGAGACTGAGCTTCAGGATAAGCAGAACTTGGAGAAAAACCTGATGAAACGTGTACAACATACCTCATTACAGAATAATTTGCCTATTGCTTTAGGCTCATAGCATTTGCAGGCAATTTACATGCTAATGAAGAGTTTCTGGTCACAGACTAAAGCAGGACACAATCTTTCATCTGAACCTACTACACATGACAGCAAAGAAGTCCCGCCAATGCTGGTAGAAAAACAAATCGGATTATTGCACATTAAAAACAACTTAACAGGGAAAACGAACTTGCTAATTTTAAGTAAGAAAGCATGATATAATAATAAGCTAAGCAAACATGAAACTACCCTCTTGCTCTATACTAGCACATTGTGTTTGAAGAAAGACAAAAATGTAAGCTTTAAGTTCTTAATATAGTATTTCCACTCTAGCCACGACTTAAAATAAGCAAACTTATATAATAAAATATCATACTATCTTAGCAAATTCTTTGAGGAAATTATTTCATGATTTTACCAAAACAGGCATAATAAAATATCATGAGCTGAGAAAAAAATTGCTATCAGATAATCATTACACAGATCTACGAGCTGAAACACATTCAAGAAACTCAACGAATGCACACTGGTATTCCACACTTGCAAATGCAACCCAACACAAACACACTCAACGAAAACAACTCTACACAGATCGATGTACAAGGAAAGCTCAACCAAACAACAATATAAGTGTAAACAATTTTAATCTCACAAACAAAAATTAAAATACAAAATCAATAAATAGAATAATTCTTCAACTTTTAGCATCCAATTCTTCAATAAATACAAAATCAAATGAGAGCAAAAATACGCAGTAACCTACATTAACCGTTCAAACAAAAGAGAAAACACAAAATGTGTCAAAAAAACAAAAACAAACACATAAAATTTGAAAGAAAAAACGGAAAAACCAAGGCAAAATACAGGAAATGTGTATAAACACATTCTCCGTCACAGATCTACGAGCTGAAACACATTCAAGAGAAAATGAGCTTACTAAGGTAATAGGAGCTCCAAGAACTGGAGTTTAGGAGATGACAAGCCGATGGCCCAGTCCCGACGACGTGAGAGAGACGAGATGACTAGCCGATGAGGATGAGTGAGGGCGACTGGCGACTGGGGACTGGCGACTGTGGTACTGGGAATGGGAATGACAGACTAGATGAATGAATCAGGTGAGGTACTGATGACTGACGAGTGACGATTAATCGAAGAGGGAGTTGAGGTACGAAGAAGATGGCAAAGAGGGAGGTATGAAGAAGATGGCAAAGAGATTGAGATTGAGAGGATGAATTGTTATGTTGAAGATTGAGAAAGATGAGAGGCGGCATAGAGAGTTACTGAGTTAGACTTAGAGGGGTTAGGGTTAGGGATTTGAAAAACGGGTACCCGCGGGTGCCCACGGGTTCACCCACATAACCCGTTAGTATACGGGCCGGGTACGGATACGGGTCCAAAAAAAAGGGTTTAATATATTGGACCCGTACCCTATATTTTTTACCGGGGTACGGGTCGACCCGCGGGTCTAAACCCATTTTGCCAGGTCTAATTATGTGTAATTTAAACCTAGGATCTACAACAAGGCCTAATCCATATAAGAATGGAATATCTAACCAATATTTCTCATATTTTTCTTCCATCTTTAAAACAATTTCCCTTAAAACGTTATTATATCTATATTTAGCAAAAGTTTTAGCAAATTAAAGTAAAATATCTAACACTAAATTAGTAGTCGGATAATAAATACCACTTATATATTAGTAGAATCATAAAAAATTTTAAGAAATGAATAAAAAAGTTCACAAACTGCCCAATCATTATAGTTGACAACTTCCTCTGGATAGTGCTTTCGGTTGACGAAATCTGTAATTTGTTTTGCGGTTGGCAAAGCTTTTTCCAATATCAAGTAGGTGGAGTTTCAACGGATAGGTATGTCCGTACATAACTTCAAAGGTTGAACCGATGAGTCCTCTTGCTTACAATATTTGACGTACTCCTGCTATCTTTTATTGCTACCGCCGACAATAAATCCGATAGCCACGCGCACCCTCTCCATCTTCGAATGTATAGCATCTAAACCTGCTTTAACTATCAAATTGATGATGTGGCAAGCACATCTGTAGTGAAAAATTTTGCCTTCACCGTGCGGATCCAATCTCTTTTCAAATAAAGAGATTGTCACGGTGTTAGCAGCTACATTATCAAGCATTAGCACTACAACTCTGTCAGTTAATAAATATTCTTGCAAAACTTCAAGAATTGTAAAATAAATAGTTTCAGCACTATGTTTTTCATATAATGTTTTTAAACCTATCAATTTTTTTTGTAAACCCCAATTATGATCTAAGAAATGTACTGTAATAGTTAAAAAATCGGTTTTTGATCTACAAGCCCATATGTCTTATGTAAGTGCAATAGATATATTCCTAAAATTTTGAAATTCGTTTTTAAGTTTATTATTTATTTTGTTATAAAGTTTTAGTATATCTCTTCTACTTGTACTTCTACTAAAGGGGTATATGTGAACAAAATGCAGTTTAATCATGTGAATAAAATAAGGATTTTCAGTAAACAAATGGGAGAGTCCGTAGCAACTATGAATCTTGCATTTCCTCTCGTGCAACATCTGATTGTATTGTCATGTGAGAGAGTTGAGAATTGTGGATTAAAATTAAGTTGAGTTTGAATTTGTCTACTTGATCCGGTTTGAAGATGTACGGGCAACTACATTATTTAGGGGTGCTTCTCTACGCGCGTGCGTTTAAGTCCCTTTCAGGGCCAATAATGGTTCCACAAAAATTACATACCCCACACGATTCTTCGCCCTTCCTATTTGTCTTTGGCGTTTGATTTGGTGAAGTGTCACCATACATCGGACACGACCCTCTTTGACGGTCGAGGGGGTTGGGCTATGCCGTGCCCGTTGACTCGCAGCTCACATGTGTTTGGCTACACCTTGTCCGATCGAATGTGGTTGTGGAATTGCAGTTGCTGCCTTTAGAGGAAAGGGTGAAAATGGATTGAACCTTCCATTTCTTTGGTGGATGGAACGCAAAACTCATTTGCAAATGGTCCTCCGAATGCATCATTTTGGGAATCCATTATGAATTATGATAAAATAATAAAAAATTAAATGAAAAGAAAAATAAATAATAATACGAATAAGAGATGATATTGAAAATAGAAAAAATAGAAAAAAATAAATAAATAATATGAATAATATAATATAAATATAATTGAGATGAGAATTTGATTGAAGATTGGAGTAGAGAGATTGAAAGAATGAGAGATTGAGTGGTGTGGAAAAATAAAAGATTTTAGGGTTATTTATAAAGTAATCCCTCCCCCCCTCCCAAAAAAAAACAAAAAAAAAAAAAAAAAAATCACCGTTGGCTTATAAAGAAAGTAAATTTAAATAAAAAAAAAAATTTGTAAAATTTCCTTTTAACCCCTATAATTTATGTTTATTTCAAAATTTATAGGAGGTTTTACATAATTGTACAAGGGACTAAAACAAAAAAGTTTAAAAAAATTTGGGCCCAGGCCCGGGCCTTAGGGGAATGCCCAATGGAGGGACCGGGCCCTCCTCCTTAGGACCGATCCTAGGATCGGGTTTTTGGGTTGGACCCAGTCCCAAATGCCCACCTCTAGTAGTGACTATAAGTCAATTAGGCTCTTTCATTGGCAAACTTCATATAGGATGGATCCCTGCAGATTACTATTTTGGAGGAATAAACACTGGAGATTCCATAATCTTTCCACCGTTGTTGGAATAGATCCATTCAAGTCATTATATGAAAGGTCTAAAAGTATCAGACATGATAAGTTTCCAATTTCTGAAGGAATGTTTCCCATAAGTTTGCAATTAGGTGTGTCGAACTTTTGGAGATATGTAGATAAAATTCCTAATTGAAGGAGGAAGGATGCCACTCAATGGATTATTCCCAAGTTCAGAACTTCCAGTTATGTGAAGTTTGTCAAAGAAGAGAGAGTCTCATTCTTCATCAGCAGTCAAGTTATTATCCTGAAGGTTAAGCACATTGATGAACTTCAAGTTGCCAAGTGTATTTGGAATGAGGCCAGAGAAAGAGTTTGAGCTTAACTCTAGGTAAGGGAGCTAGTAAGCATTGGAAATGGATTTGGGCATTGTTCCATCAAGTTTATTTTTGGCTAGAAAAAGATTGGTGAGGTTCAGGAGCCAGCCAATGTTTGATGGTAGAGAGCCCGAGAGTGAACGAATAGAGAGATACGAAAACCAAATTAATAGTAAACACACAAACTATAAACAGTAAAGAGAAAGAAGAAATACGCGTCATTTTACCCTGGTTCACCCAATTAACATGCTACATCCAGCTGAGTCAATACTATTGTAATACTACCTCGCCTTTCTCGTTTACAATGAAAGTAATTTGCTCTATTGTTTGTTGTCACTCATTAAAAGAGAAAAGCATGTTCTAAAACCTAGTATTATAAGGATTTCTTTTAAGTAAACAAGTAGCATTGCTAGTTTGAGTCAATGATTGTGACTGCCTACTTCTCATTTTACTTGATCCTGAAAACACCCTTTTACTCAAGATAGATTTTTTCCATTCTATAGGGGTTTCAATAAACGAACTTGCAAATATCATAACATCAAATCCAAATCTATTAGATAGTAGTTTAAAGAATCGTTTGATTCCTAACTTCAATTTCCTCAAGACTTTTGTCATTCATGATGAAAAAGTTGTTAAGAGTTTTGAAGCACAGGTTGAAGGTTTTACCAAGAAACAAGAAAAACTTAGAAGATGCAAGCAAGAAACAGAGAGAAAAAGAGAGCTAAAACTTAGTTGAAAAGTGTGTATTATTTCAGTTAGTTACAAAACTTAGAACGACGGGTTATATAACAGACATTCTGTTATATTATACAACTACAAAACATCATCATCTCTAAGTTGGTCTTTTATCTTTTACAAATACAACCCTTCCATATTTCTAACATTACAAACTCAACCCTACGCATTACAACATTACATTATACTATACTCAATATTCCCCCTCAAACTAGAGTACTAAAGCTGACCTATACAATACACAAACCACCTTTATACTGATATAATCTTGTAAACTAAACAACCTTCAACTACCAACCTACAAAACTCATTTTATACTAATATTCTCCCATGAACTAAAGAGCCTTCAACTATTTCAGGCTTCCACTTTTTCATATTTACTCTTGTAACATTCTTTCAGTACTATAGTCCCAACATTCTTGGTAAAAACAGAATCAATTTTCAACACTTACTGAACTTAAAACAAAAATAGAGCAGTAATTTTTAACACTGATTGAATTCAATACGTACGAATTCCCAGCACATCATATTTCTTCAGATCATATCACCTCTTCATTGAACTAGATAATCGTTACAATATCTGAGTACTTCAGTTAGACACATCAGGATTATCACCAGTACCATCACTTGGTAATGCATCTGTAAAATTTAACTTGTCCTTAAGCATAGAAAACTAAGAACTAGGAAGCGCTTTGGTTAATACATCTGCCATTTGATATTCTGAAAAAATATATTGAACCATCAACAATTTTCTGGTAACCAACTCTCTAACAAAGTGCACATCAATTTCAATGTGCTTTGTTTGAGCATGAAAAATAGGATTAGATGAAAGTGCCTCAACACTCATATTATCACACCAAATCATTGGAATGTTATTGATTTGAAAGCCAAGTTCCTTAAATAGTTCTGAATCCACACTACTTCAGTGGCAGCCTGGCTTAGTGATTGATACTCAGCCTCTGTTGAAGATAAAGAGACCATTTTTTGTTTCCTGTAAGACCACTAAACTAGATTACCTCCTAAACAGACTGTGTACCCATTGGTGGACCTTTTATCCATTTCATCCTTAGCCCAATCTGCATCGGCAAAATCTTTTAAGGCAAAAACCTTTTTCTTGGTGAAAAGAATACCATGTTGCAAAGTTCCTTTCACATATCTTAGAACATGTTTACAGGTTGTCCAATGAACTTCAGTGGGCTACTATAAAAATTGACTT